ATTTCAGATTTTTATTTTAAATAAGATCTTTTTGAGTACTTATTTTTCCTTCTTATTATTTTATAATTATTTATTTTCTTATTTGTACTTAATTCGCATACATTTATTAATTTTTATGTATCCTTTATATATGTATGTTCTTTAATTTTTTTCAGTGTACGCACATAAATTTGCTCTCTGTCGTCTGGGTCGTATGAGTGACATAAAATTGCACCGTAACATAATTAAATCAACATAGGTATGTAGAACTAATTTATAAGGCACTTCAAGCCCGTTGCATACTGTTAACTACAACAACAATAATAATAAAATAACAAGTGTTTAAAAAAATAAATAGCAGAGGCATACATATACAAACCGCGCGAAATCTAACTGGTTCACAGAGTTGGTTAGTGGTGGATTGTTGCTATTTGTTTGTTGTTTGCTGGTATTTTAAATACAACATGGTAACATAACCGGCTTTTCTGCTGTTATGGTTGTTACTGTTGCTGCTGCTGCTGCTCAAAGCTACTCAGCGCTCTGTCTTGGCTCTCTGCTGTATGAATTTTATTTTGAATATTGTTTGTAGTTGTTGATTTTAGTTGACTTCAGTGAAAATTTGCGAAAATGGCTATAAAAAGATGAACAAGAAAAACTTGAGAGGCACTTGTCGAAGTAGCAAAACAACACAACAAAACCGAAAAAGTGAACCAACAAAACCACCTGTGTGTGCTGTGAGGACGACGTTGGCGGCGGAGAAGTGGTCTTCTGCGTGCTATCTTTGTTGTTTTACCAACGCTGCAGAGACTACTTTGCATGTATGGACTGACTTTTGCTGTTACTGGCTGTTGTTTTGCTGTTGGTGGCTAGCGCGTGGCACGTTTTATGGCTTGAAGCTACCGTGTTGGCAACAGTTGGAATCAGTGCAACGGTGACTCTTGAACGGTAATGTTGACTTAGCGGTTGAAACGAAGTAAGTAAGGCCACAAGAGTGAACGTAGTGAAAAAGAAGTGTAGTGTTATTTAATAAAAACGCGAAAGGCTAACTTAATGTAAGAAGATACATACAAACAAGTAAATATATATATGTGAAAATTATATGAGAAAACGGTCTAATACAAACTAGAGTTAAATAAAAGCGCTCAAGGCTAATATTTAACATTTTATAAAAATTAAAAATAAATAATAATACAAGAAAATATTTAAAAATTAATTAAAAATGTTTAAAATATATTTAAAATATTTTACAACTAATCATCCTTCGATGTGCACTTATATACACATGTACATATGTGAATGCACATATGCATGTATGTATGTACATACTTTGATGTTATTGCTGCGCATGACGCGGCGGTTTCAATGCATACTACAAATTTCGAATCATTATTGCTTGGTTTTTTTGATTTTTTTTTTGTTGGAATTTTTGTGTCTTTTCCACCGACGTGATCTATAAATAAGCGCCAGCTGAAAAATATATACTCGTACAGAGATGCTACGCGCACAGCAGCAGCTGAAAGTGAGCAGTGGTGATTCGCAGTTTCTTTTGGTGCGAAATGAAAAGCAATTGCGTAAACTCTACAGACAAGCTGAAAATGGTTGCGGCTGAAGCTGTGGCTGCCGCTGCGGCTGCGCAATTGTCATTTTAGCTGCTTTGCTTCGTTAGTGCATTGTTTTGGATAAATTGCGAAACTATGGAATTTTTAAATCTGCTATTAATTAACGATTTGCTTAGATTCGCTAAACGAAGCGTTCTAAAAAATGTTAATGTGTCAAAAAAATAACATGAAATATGCAAACAGCTGGATGTTTGAAAGATGAAAAATATCTATGAAAATACAAATTTGCAAAACTATATTATTAAAAAACTAAAAATGGAAAAAATTAAATTATGAAAAAAATAGAAAATTTTCAAAATTAAAATGCAATTAATTTCATAAAAAAATTCAAAATTGTAAAAACTATTTCATTTATTTAATGCTTAAATAATTTCAACGCTAACACTACTGCCCCACCAAATACTACTTTTTATATCGCTAAAAATATAAAAAAAAAATTTTAAATATACCGTATATAAACAAAAACATAAAATACAGTTTAGTGCAGAAGCTGTCAGTTTTCTTTTTTTTTTTATTTGCTACGATATATTATTTAATTTATATTTTCGATAAAATTACTTTAAAATTAATTGCTTTAAATTTTTACAATATATAATAAGACAAAAGTCAAGTATTTAAAATGATTAGTAAAAATAAATGCAATATTTTAAGACCCTTTAATTTAAACATTTAAAAAGTAAAAAAAATGCTTAAGATATACAAATTTGTTAATGTTAATAATTAATTAATGTTAATAATTAATTAAAATATTTAATCTATCATATAATTGCTTAAAAATCTACATTTTTTTGTTCAAAAAGTGAATACTTTTTTATAATATTAAAAAATATAAACAAAACTTAATTGTTTATAATACTTACAATATATAAAAACTGTATTTTAAAAACATTAAAGTATTTTAAAATGTTTCAAATTTTTTTATTTAAAACTTTGTTCAGGCATAGGTCTATAAATATATACAATACTTCATTGCCATACCGCAATTGTGCTCTATATTGTCTATCTTTGTTCCACTTGGCAAAACATAGCTCAACTTCATTTATTATTGTAGGGGTTTCCATTATCAGACAATCGTCAGAATAGGTTAGACTAAACAACAGTTCGAAGTTGAACATTGAGGTTAGGTAGAGATTTTTCTCATATAGAAGTCTAACTATGTGGATGAATGCAGCAAAATGCTTTCTTTAGCTCAATTCAATTCATAAATAAAATTTTTTTAAACGTAGAGTTATCGCCTAATAGAAAATGATTTTAAAAATATTACCAGATTGAAAGGCTTAAGCTCCATGTAAGACTCTCGGTTCTCAATTGCTGTTAAAAAATATGTATTTAGAGAAAACTAAATAAATCTTCTTTATTTAAAAATATAATGACAAACTAAGGTATGATTTGACAGTAGAAATGTCAAAACATCAAGAAAACTGACAGCTAACAGCAATAAGTAAACTTAACTAAATGTTATGTCTGTTGGAGAGCAGCAATACTTTTGTTTATTATAAAAGTAATTAATTAATTTACGAAATTTCAGACCTGATTTTATTTACTTTCATTAACTACACGCCAAACGTAATAAATACCGTAAATTGCATACTAATTGGTGTATATTAAACTTTGGAAGGGAAAAGTCGCCAAAGCATTCATAAAGTGCCAATAAGAAAAAAGGCGATTGACTGAAAATAAAAATAGACGGCAAAATGCTTCCGGTAAGTAACACATACTGCGCTATGCATATTTATATGCACATATTTAATATAATAAAAAAAAAAAAAAAAAAGATTGCAAATATTATTTAAAATGAAAGAAATGCTTTAGCGGCAAATGTCATAAAGTTCGTCTATTCATCAATAAAAAGATAAGTGCATAAAGACATTTGCATGAATAAATACTTTGTATAAAACCAACTTTTTTTGTGTTTTTCAAAAGTCTTTTTTATTCTACGACTTTATCAACTCGCACTGTCATCACAGCATTTGAGCTTCCCTATTCGCGTGCACGTCACTGTATGCTTATATAAAAAATGTATGTTGGTACATTGACAGTTACGTATCCACTTGAGTACTACGTAGTATATTTATGCATTCCAAGCAGTGCTTCGCCTGACCAACTGCGCTGCGTTGTGCGCATGCGTGGCTGCGTGGACAAATACGATTTTTGCAAGCATTGCAGTTGCTGCCAATAATGATGGATTAAACGCATTATTTTTCGATGGCATAGATTTGTATTAAATAATCACTATATATTTTTTGGTATGCTAGGGTAGTCCCTTTATGGATTATTATTATAATTTTTTTGTTTTTTTTTGTTTTGCGGTTAGTCCTTTCATGGATTATTTTTTTTATTTTGTTTAAACTAATTCGTTAGAATAATTATGAAGAGAAATGTTACGTTATTTTGCACTTAAGGTGACAAAATTGTGGCTTTCAAAACCGTTATTGTCATAACAGATTCTTTAATAGCGATTAAATTGCAGTTCTTGGCCTCGGATATTTTTCCAACACCAGAAACAAATCTATGAAAAAAATGTGGTCTTGTGCTGGAAAATTTCGAAATTCGCGGTTACAGTGGGATGAGATAATATTTTTTATCTCCTCACTCAATAGGTACAATTCGTGAAACTCTTTCAAAAAGTAGATTTTACTATTAATGAACTTTTTTCTTTTCTAAAAAGCAAAGCTTTAAGGGGTTACAAGGGCTTCACAGTTTCAAACAATTTTTTTTTATCTTATTAAATTCTATAACATTTCTAAAATATTTTCCTAAATTTTCAAGTTGATCCGACTAATAGTTTCGGAGATACAACCTTGAAAATGTGGACGCTCGACGTCAGTTATAGGCTGAGGGCGCAGTAGGTAAAACTTTAAACGCGTTTGCCTCAAAACTATGTTTTTAAAGTCGGTTGTCAAGGTTTCTTGCGAACTACTTAACCGATCTTGATGGAATTTTACACAGGTCTTCGAGATATCATTTACAAGATCTTGAACGAAGAATATTTTTTTTTAAATTACAACTATTTAAAAAAAAAATGACGAGAAATTTTCATCGAAATTTGCCGTTTTTTATAAAAACGTTTGCCAAAATTCCAAATTAAATTTTTTTTGTTTTCCTTCGTCTAATACCTAGTTTATTGTCTTTGCTAAAACACGTATTTTTTATTTTTATTTGAGATGATCCTTAAAGAAGTTCTGCTGACAACGCGGATGCACCTTTCTTCCGAGAGACTGCCAGAAATGGCGTCGTAATGACTGCAATTTTGATAATTTTTTTTTGAAAATTTTACAAAATGTTTATTAAATATGAGTCTTTAAAAACAAATTCATTTTAATTTTTTATATGTGAAAAAAAAAATAATTGAAAAAAGGCCGTTTTTTGCTCAAGGAAACCCATGTAACCTCTTAAACTTCTAAAAGCAAATTTCTCAAAAATAATCCAGTGTTTCTGGCAGTCTTAAAGAAGTGATGAAAAATGCAGAACCTTTTGAAAAATATATCTCAAGTAACAAAAACCACAGACAAAGAACAAACAAAGAGAGAGTCTGGAGTGACTCCACTACAATATTTATTTATTTAATAATAATAATTAAATAATATCATTTGCTGAAAACTTAAGTATCAACATTTTTTGCAAGAACCAAATTAGTAAGAAATTTATAACTATGGGATGGATCACCCTAAAAAGTCCACACACTTCGTTTTCTTACTGGAATTTATTAAGCAAACCGCTATGCACTTAATATAATATTTCCTGTCTTTGTTCGCTACGTTGACGATTGCAATACTGTACTCGTAATCGCTCGTTTAATGAAGCGAAGCAGTAGTTGACAGCTATGAAAAGAATTGGAAAAACTAAAGACGGCACTAAAGCTGCCATGAATAGTGAAATTTATAATTAATGGCGGTATTTTGCATGTTCTTGTATGATTTTCGCATTAAAATATAGTGGCCATAAGTTATGGGCTGCATTGTATTGTAATATGTAAAACTATGCCGCGCCAACCATTTCGAGTAACTATGTGAATTGTGGGTTCACAAAGTGCACACGGAAAGCACTAAAATTGTAGGAACACTTTTAAACTCGCAAAAACGCTCTGAGTATATTATGAATATATAGTACATATTTTCTCATATGATATATACAGAAATATGTATATAATCATACACGAATTCGCTTAACAAAAACCTGTTAAAAATATTCTATTCCTAACAATATGTAGGAAACAGTAAACAATCACATAGTATTTTCACTGAAAAATCATGAATGGTATTGTAGACAAATGTGTCAAAAAAGCGAAGAAAACTTATAGATATTTAGACCTATTTATATATTTTGAACTATGGTTGTTATGGTTGTTTTCAAAGGTTTACCATATCCATTCTTCTTGTGAACCGTTTTAAATAAAGCGAACTTCGCGTGAATGAGAAAACGTCAAAAATTTGACACACAACATTTGAAAACGCTATCAATATTAAAGTTTTAAAAAATGAATGCAATCGATATTTTGAAATTTTTTGTTTAGTCACTCAAAAACTCATTAATCATACTCTCTTTACCATACTATATCAATAATTAGTAAAAACAAAAAACGTTCGAGTGTTAATATGATTAATTTTATATGAGTATTTTTATTGTAGTGTGACTTACGTGCACTTGAAAGTTGCTAAAATAAAAACTTAACGCTAGCTCAAGTTCTTTGTGCTATAAGTACATACAAGCAAGTATATATACTATATAATAAGTTGTAAAAAAAGTCTTGCGGTATTTTTTGTGGAATTTTCAATTGTTCATAAAACTCTTGACCGATGCTATGGCTGCTACTATGTCGGTCTCTTTCGACCAATTCAGCGATTTTATCGCAATTTTCGACGGCAAGTCTTCCGGAGCGTGGCGCATCTTCGACCACCTCTACATCAGAACGCAAACGTTGAAACCATCGTTGTGCGGTGGAAATGGAAACTGTATCGGGTCCTTAAACTGCACAAATTTTATTGGCGGCTTGAGATGCATTTTTGCCTTTATCGCTATAACTCACGAACGACTTAAAAGAAACGACAATCAATCAAACACGTGTTAGCGCGTGAAATGAGCTTTCCAAAAAGGTATAGCATGACCCGATGCGACGAATAAAACTAGAACTACGCGCTCTCAGCGCCAACTAGCGAAAATACCGCAAGACTTATTTGACAAACTAATATATTACGGGTATGTAGAAGCCGGTAGCCCTTGAAATGTCCACAGCTTTCATACAGTATATATCATATACATATGTACATATGCGCTCCGTAAGTTTCCTTTCGCTTAAGTAATTTAACAACGTATGTACTCATGTGGTTCTTGTAAGTTTTTACCGGGTGCCATGATACTCTAAATCTTTTCAAAATTTGCGGCATGAAGTGTGCTTTATAAATGTGTTGGGAAAGTTTGAGATTAACATGCTGCACACAGTGTGAACGGCACCTAAACTACTTAGTTAAAATGCTTTGTTTTATTTGCTCTGCTGTAAGGGCGCCGATCTGCTTGTTTTGAGGCCAGCTGTTTTGACTTCTCAAGGCAATTTGTGGTTGATAACTAGCATTTATTTACATACCTAGCTTGTAACAATGCTGCTGTTGTTCATAGAGGCAGCTCTTAAGAAATTATTGCTCTACACGTAGTAATATAACTGACAGAAAATAATTTATGCAATGGAGGAATATATTTATAGTGCGGTTTAGTAAAAAAAATTACTCAACCTATACGGATTTATCGTATGCTAAGTATACAACATTTCAAAAATTTTAAATTATTATTTAGAAAAAATATTTTTAGACATACCATAGATCAGGAAACTTAGAATCTTCAGTCTTTCAATTCTTGCTACTGGTAGCAATACATACATACATATTTACGCTTACCAGTTGAGCTGGTTCCGTGAATTAATCCACTAATAATCATACTAACTCGTTAAAACTGCTAAATATTTTAACTACCTAGTCTGAGTGTAATATAATGTATGCTATATAGTATTTGCATAGCTAGTAATATCATTAGAGGTAAAATGATAATAAAAGAGGCGCAAAGGCTAACATCAAACCATTAATATTTGCATTTATTATAAAAAATTTGCATTAATTCGCTGCCAAGAATTGGTTAATACATTATAAATACACCTACAAGCGCAGAAGCATACATACAGACTTGGTTCGAAGTTGCAAAACCGCCAATAAAAAGAAAGAGTAACAGAACTCGTTTCCAGCGCGAGTATAAGTAGAAGTGAAGGTCGCGCATGCGTGCTGAAGCGCTTCTGCTTTCTGCGCTATTAAACTGAACTAGCTTATGTAGCTTTTGATTTCACTCGTATAAGAAGTGAGAGTCATTAATTATGTTATTCATTTGCGCAAGAAATCGTGTGTTAGAATAATTTATTAAAGAATGTAAGATGTCTTTTATTTTATTTTTGGCAAGCAAAAACTTAATTCAGCTGTATTCACTCTTTATAATTTCGTGCATACATACGTACGTCTTTTTATATTTATGTATATATGGGCGTATATAAAAAGTGAAATAATTAAGTTAATTACGTGGCGGACTATTTTTAATTAGTTTTGGCAATAATTTTTTGATTAAAAATGCCAAAAGCTGAAATAAAGTCTACACTATTTAATTCAGTTGGTTTGAAAATCTTTCCCACGAGAAAAAATGTATAAAGACATTTTAGTTTAGATTAGAA